AGTGCTGCTGCATGGGCTGGGCTAGTGCTGTGTATGTGTAAGGAATTTCATATCCAAGACTAGCCTAAAACCAAAAAAGACCCTCCCATGGCTATTGCATTTTCTTTATTTAAAAATAACATTTTTAATCTAAATGGTATGTTTAGGTCGGGTCGTCTCACTCTCCATGTATTTTCTCTTTTTTTTCTATTTTTTTGGGCAACTTTCAGAGGTAGAAAATCCCTCCCTTGCCTTTATTAGAGAACTTTTTTCCCCACTTGTAGTTGTGAAGAAATCAATGAGAAATAATCAGCAAAACCAGAGCTATCAGACAATAAAACCTTCTTCAGGCACAGAAATTATGCCTAACTCTAATAGGACACGCACTCAGCTCTTACGACCTTCTTGCTTTCCAGTGAGGATGCGGTGAAACCACTTGAATACTGATAATTTTTCAATGTCATCCCACAGTCCTTGTTTACTCCTTGACAAAGATAAGTTATCTCATAGTTCTTTGAAGCAGAATCATAAAAGAGTCATTTGTAATGTAATTTGTGTCGTGCTCGCAAAAGTACTATTCCTGCAAAACACCCCAGGGCACAGAGTAACTCCGTGGGGTTTGGAAGCCTCCCCACTCTCACCTCGGTGGAGGTGTCTGGCACGTGGGGATTGCACTGCTCATCCCCTGAAATAACTCTAGTAGGACCACTGCTTGCAGGCCTCATCAGTAAGTAAAGGTGTGTTACTGCGTGCTGTCTTAAATTAAATATTTTATAGGCTTGATGTGTGCTGTGCTCAATGAGCAAGGCGTGAGTTCTGAAAAATATAGTAGCCAGCTTTAAGTTACTTGGCACAGACTGTCTTTTGGTAGGACCATCCCAGTACTGCTTTCAGCCCAGTTATATCCCCTAGGCTGCTCAGCCTCTGCTATTTCCTCAGAAATGTCTCTATTTCTGTACTCCACATGCAGTAGGACTTGTCTGTCTCCCCTCCACCAGCACAGACAGAAGAGTCAGCACCTCCCTATTGCAGCAGGCACAGTGTTGTGGTGAGAGCTTGTGTTTGTGACAAATCCTGTAATTCAGCTGGATTTCCCAAGTAGTGGGTGGAAAGAATGGACTTGCAGGATCATGGATTTCCATCTCATGGCATCCATGGCACTCCATGTAACCCAGGAAAGCTATCACATGTCCTTAGAAGATGTCCTACCCAGCTGGTGCTCCAGGCTCTCACCAGCTCACTGAACAGAAAAGAATCTTCTATGTAATTACTTTTTACTTCTCATGTCATGAAATATTTCTGTATTTCAGGATTTGAAATGCTTCCCATCTCTTTCCTGTCTTGTCTCAGTATATTGTTGTTCAGTTCAATGGCTCCTTAAATCTAATTTTGTGGCTCGAATTATTGGTTCTGTCAGTTTTATTTATACGCAGCTCCAACCAGATATGTAAGAGCAGCTCCAGCTGTATTTTCCCTTTTGGAAGGGTCTCTCCAGTGTTAATGATGTTCTCTCCAGCATTAGTTTAACCCAACCTGTTATACACCTTGAGGTGCAAAATGGATGCATAGGACGAGGCAATCATTTTGCCTCCCTCGCTTGAAAACTAGAAGAATAATAGCAGGGTTGGAGCCAAGACCTCCTGCATAGTGTGCACATTCCCATCTTTATGCTGGAGAGAGAATCTTTTTATTTGTGGCATATTATGTGCAATTACAGTAGATGTTGTTTACTGCAATCTTCATTGAAAAGGAGGGTGCCTTAACGGTGGAGTTGGTCCTAAGATGTTTCCTCTGCGCTGTTATGTAAAGGTGACCTAGAAATGGTTTCCATGGCAGTAGGATGTGCTACGTCCTCTTGATGGCAGGGCTCAGAGGAGGCCCCAGAAGTCTCTTCAGTTTAAAATGTGAGCACATTCGAGAGCGACTTTCAAATGACTCTCAAAACCTGGTGACATTTTTGGGTGACTATCAATCCTTTGGTAGATGAGTCAGTGGTGTGTCTCAGCCCTGGGCATGACAGATGTTTGTTCATAAGCAATTAGCTGCCGCGCTGACTTCTCCTGTCGTCCCCAGAGCGGGTCCCTGCTGGTAAGAGCTGCAGCGCTCGACAAGACAGAAAGTGCTGCTGCATGGGCTGGGCTAGTGCTGTGTATGTGTAAGGAATTTCATATCCAAGACTAGCCTAAAACCAAAAAAGACCCTCCCATGGCTATTGCATTTTCTTTATTTAAAAATAACATTTTTAATCTAAATGGTATGTTTAGGTCGGGTCGTCTCACTCTCCATGTATTTTCTCTTTTTTTTCTATTTTTTTGGGCAACTTTCAGAGGTAGAAAATCCCTCACAAAATACAGGACCTTGCCTTTATTAGAGAACTTTTTTCCCCACTTGTAGTTGTGAAGAAATCAATGAGAAATAATCAGCAAAACCAGAGCTATCGGACAATAAAACCTTCTTCAGGTACAGAAATTATGCCTAACTCTAATAGGACACGCACTCAGCTCTTACGACCTTCTTGCTTTCCAGTGAGGATGTGGTGAAACCACTTGAATACTGATAATTTTTCAATGTCATCCCACAGTACTTGTTTACTCCTTGACAAAGATAAGTTATCTCATAGTTCTTTGAAGCAGAATCATAAAAGAGTCATTTGTAATGTAATTTGTGTTGTGCTCGCAAAAGTACTATTCCTGCAAAACACCCCAGGGCACAGAGTAACTCCGTGGGGTTTGGAAGCCTCCCCACTCTCACCTCGGTGGAGGTGTCTGGCACGTGGGGATTGCACTGCTCATCCCCTGAAATAACTCTAGTAGGACCACTGCTTGCAGGCCTCATCAGTAAGTAAAGGTGTGTTACTGCGTGCTGTCTTAAATTAAATATTTTATAGGCTTGATGTGTGCTGTGCTCAATGAGCAAGGTGTGAGTTCTGAAAAATATAGTAGCCAGCTTTAAGTTACTTGGCACAGACTGTCTTTTGGTAGGACCATCCCAGTACTGCTTTCAGCCCAGTTATATCCCCTGGGCTGCTCACCCTCTGCTATTTCCTCAGAAATGTCTCTATTTCTGTACTCCACATGCAGTAGGACTTGTCTGTCTCCCCTCCACCAGCACAGACAGAAGAGTCAGCACCTCCCTATTGCAGCAGGCACAGTGTTGTGGTGAGAGCTTGTGTTTGTGACAAATCCTGTAATTCAGCTGGATTTCCCAAGTAGTGGGTGGAAAGAATGGACTTGCAGGATCATGGATTTCCATCTCATGGCATCCATGGCACTCCATGTAACCCAGGAAAGCTATCACATGTCCTTAGAAGATGTCCTACCCAGCTGGTGCTCCAGGCTCTCACCAGCTCACACCCAGGTGGTGTGGAAGCATTTAAACTTTCACTTACAAAATTTGCTAGAGAAGTCTAAACTAAGTAAGGGCTATTTCCTTCATAAATCTGAATGGCAAAGGTACAAAGTCTGCATTCTCCGAAGCATGCATTAGTATCATGCTGAGTTAATTCTTTTTTATTTCCTAGGGTATTATTTAACTTAAAAATAAACAGCTATCTCTATTCTGTGCTCCAGGTTTTGGCAAACATGTAGAAGTTGAGGCAGACCTTTGTCTACTGTTTCCAGCACTCTGCTGTCCTTTTGTGAGCTTCATTAGACGAAAATATGGTTGTCCAGGTGGGAGGAAAACTGGTCGTGAATTGACCCATCATTGAACTGTCGAACAGACTGGCCTGGAGCAGCGACTGTAGATGGGCCCAGAAAAGGGCTTGCAGCATCCCCAAAGAAATGCATATTCAGTCTGACCAGTTGCCTGCAAAAGCCACAATTTAGGGCCCCCAGACTCCTGTAACAGACAGTACCACGGAAAATGGAGAAGGGTGTTTCTGCTGGGGTGTTGCAGGAGAGCCAGAAAAGTAGAATAGAAAACAAATGGAACTCTGAAAATCCTGGCTTCTTGAAAGTAAAGTGTAATTCAGGAAATAAGGATGATTATCAATTGAATTTCATGCTAAGAAACACATTCCATAGCTTTTGTATTCTGCAGAATTATACATAAAATTATTAAGCAAATAAGATAATGTAAATATTAAAGGATTCGGTGCCTTAACCTCCATGAGATTATAAATCTAAGAGAAAGCCTTTGGCTGGTAACACGATGTGTCACACACATGCTGTGAATGCTTATTGTCATTCTCCATCCCAAGCAATTCTGTTTTACACAGCACTGTTGGAAAGTGTTCCCTTCTTCTTAACAGTGAGATGGAAACAAAGAATGGAATCTAAACAGCCCTCATCATTGAAACGTACCTTCAAGTAGCTGAATGGACAGTATCATGAAAGGGAAGAGATTTAAATCCAACAAATTCAGCAAATGTAAGCATAGCAGTGCCAAGGATTTTTTTCTTCCAAAAAGTGTGTACAAATGCCATCAACCTCTTGGAGAAGCTCTGGGTGGACACAGCCACACCATTTCAGTGCAAAAGTTTTGTGAATCATGGCACATGTGTGAGAAGTGGTCATTGCCAGGTACCTCAAAGAGCTTCAATGAAAATAAATTGGACAACTATTGAATAACTTTATGTATCAGGTGGACTTTAATTTACTAATAGTTAATACCTCATATGAAGTAAAAAATAACGGGAGGAGGAAAATCTTCTTGAAAAATGTAACTTTTGCTAGAAGCGTGCAGACCCTCAGGTTATCTCAGCGAGAAATTGGCCAAATATGTATAGAAATGTGTATAGGGAGAGAGTGGATACAGTCAGTAATATTCATTCAAATGGTGAAAGACTCCTGGGGTGCACAAGGGTAGCCATAATCAGGCATGTACTTGCATTATAACCCTTTTCCTGCAGTCTCTCTTCTGCTAACTCTACACACAGATCATGCTTATTTAATGATGTGCTGGCATTTTCTCTCTGTAGACATCTGCAGTGTTCCTGGATAGCTCTAAGAGCTGCACGAAACATAAAGCTGATACTTATTCTTGTTACTTTAGAAAATGAACCCAAGCAGGGAACTTACTTGTGCTTATTTTGATTTTTATCTCTTTTTATCTGTGCACATTTAGTATATAGATTTTGTAGTACATAGTGTTAGCATATAGTTTAGGATATACTAAATAATAGTGTATTATGTTAGTATTACATTTAGTATTAGTAGACAGTTTTCATTCTTACAGACTGAATATTGTACGATGTATGTCTAATTTATCTTGGTGAAAAATCTACATTAAAAATACATATCTATTCTTAAAATCTTCCTCTGCTAAACCAGAAAAAAGTCCCTCCCAGGTAAATCACCATTCAACAGTTTGTTCCATTGTTTGCAAAACACCTTTTTTTTTCCTCCTTTAAAATGAAATGAAAATATCTATTGCAAATTTTTGTTACCTACATGGCTCTAAATGCTAAGTAATATATCATGATTTTGGATGGAGGTGCGTGTAAGCTCTACAGGGTATTATGAATAGAAAGGAACAGAAATCTTCTTATCACCCAGACTGCACTGTGATACAGACCTTATGGTATGAAAACCATTGTCATGGGAAAAATTCACATATGCACAGTTCTGAATTCAATGGTCTTATTTCATTGCTGGCATTATCTCACAAAAGTAATTTCACATTCTTTAAAGATCTACAGTGCATTTTTTAATATAATAAATTCAGTTGGATCATTTAAGAATGCCGCTTCTTCACTTTCTGTGTTTGATAGTTGAATGAAACAGCAAAAGCATCTTGGAAGCAACCTATTTTCTTCTTCTTGCCCCCAGGAATTACTTTATTGCTGATTAAAATGTTACATGGCACCATGATTAGGCCCAGCATTTTACATTGTCTGCGAGGGGGGACTAGTTTTGTGTCTCTACAGTTGCATGGAGGGAAATTAAATGAGAGAACAAAGTCGTGGGCTGCACGTGTTGTTTGCTAATGCAACAGCAGCAGATGTTGCAGAGTGAATTTTTCAGCCCTTCCTTTCCCTGAGAGCCTGGGAACTAGATTGCTTTGTACCTTTTGCAAGCAGTTAAATGGAACTTTTCATGTAAAATCCAAGACTATTGTCGGGAAAGGCTGTTGCAGATTTCTAAGGCATCTCTGTAATTGCAAATATAAAATTCAGCAGAGCAATAACAAGTCTAACTTCAGAGTTAAATAAGGTGAATAATTGAATCACAGACACACACAAACATATTTTATACATGAGCCCTTAAAATTTGCACCACAGGCGTACACCCGTGTGTATGTTTATGATACAGTCATTTTGTCCTTTGTACGTTAACGAAGGGGTTTACTTGCTGTGATAACACAGGCTGCCTTTTGCTTTCAGATTGAGCTACCACAGAAGCTAGAAACTGTGCCCAGCCAGAGTGTCAGCAGGGCTGTAAATCTAAATGGGCCAGGTCAGTGTGTTTGGAACAGTTTTTATTTGGTTGAGGGGTACAGTTACAGGGCCATCACACAAGGATGGTTTGGCTTCCATCAGAGACAGGCACCGCTCGTTGTCCTGATGTCACAGGAATGCTCATTCAGGTGAGGGAGGGCTTTGACATTAGCTGAGGACCTGGAGCTCTCCCCATACCTTTGATTTCATGGCTGAATTCTTCTATTACTCTTCTCTGTTACTGAGCTCTGTCGAATCAGCCAAATCTCATCCATTCATCATGTGTTTGAAGGAACGAGGGCTGTTGTTTGGCTGGTCGTGTGGGTCACAGTCCTCACCGCTGCTCAGCAGGAGATGACCAGTGGGTTGGCCAAGGACTGGCGACTCTGTGCCTTCTCCATGGGCTGGCTTTGTAGGAGTTCACAGGCCGTCAGCTCCCGGTAAAGCGTATCTAGGACTTCAAATAGGTGGGCTTTTCCTTTTAAAAGAAAATTGCAAACATTAAAATTTGAACAAAGACAGAAAGTTGCGGTTTAACAATCATAACACAAGCTGTTTTCTTCAAAGATGCTATTTCAAGTAATTATCAAAAAATGTCTAAATTCTGAGACCAAATAGTGAACTTCCTGTCCCTATACAAATGAGAGTGGAACTGGGTTCAGGGACTGTTTTCTCTACTGGTTCTCTTGCTTCATTCACTGCCCACTGACTTCTCATATACTTGTGTGAATGAAGAAGTGTTTCATGCCACAATAAAGAGTTGCCAATCCAGCCATCCATTTAGTCTTGTCAAAGAGGTAGAAGATGTTTGATTAGGAAGATTAAGTCATATCAAGTGCACAGCCAGAAAACTGAAAGCAGAGAGGATGAGCCATTTATGGCAATGGTGATGGAGAATGGACAGAGCTTCACAAGGTCACTTCTGCTGTTGGTGTCATTTTAGGAAGCTGAGCTGTGCTGCTGTTACAGAGGGAGGTACTTTGTTCTGGCAGCATCACTTGGAGTTGGTGTTCCTGTAGGAGCACCTTCTGGACACTTGTGTGCTGCAGATAGAATCATAGAATCATAGAATCATAGAGTTGTCCAGGCTGGAAGGGACCTCCAAAGGCCATCTAGTCCGACCCCCCCGCAGTCAGCAGGGACACCCCCAACTAGACCAGGTTGCCCAGGGCCTCGTCGAGCCTCTCCTTGAATATCTCCAGGGAAGGGGCCTCAACCACCTCCCTGGGCAACCTGTTCCAGTGCTCCACCACCCTCACAGTGAAGAACCCTCTCCTCATCTCCAGTCTAAATCTGTTCCCCTCCAGCTTGAAGCCATTGCCCCTCGTCCTGTCACTGCAGGCCTTTCTAAACAGGTTCTCCCCAGCCTTCCTGTAGGCTCCCTTCAGGTACTGGAAGGCTGCTATTAGGTCTCCCCGGAGCCTCCTCTTCTCCAGGCTGAACAACCCCAGCTCCCTCAGCCTGTCCTCGTAGCAGAGGTGCTCCATCCCCCTGATCATCCTAGTGGCCCTCCTCTGGACCCGCTCCATCAGGTCCATGTCCTTCTTATATTGAGGGCTCCAGACCTGCACACAATACTCCAGGTGAGGTCTCACCAGGGCAGAGTAAAGTGGCAGAATCCCCTCTCTGGACCTGCTGGCAACGCAGCTTTTGATGCAGCCCAGGATGTGATTGGCCTTCTGGGCTGCAGCTGCACACTGCCTGCTCATGTCCAGCTTCTCATCCACCAGATACTAACAGTCTCCCCTTCTCCTGTGCTCACCAGGAGAATGACCTATGGTTCGGGTATGGTTTCTCTCTGTGTTGGTGTCCCAGAGCCAACAAAGGGCTGTCTTTGCCTTCTTTTCTCTGTGTCCTCCTCAGCCATGCAGGAGCACTGGGTCAGTTGCTGGACGCCAGTAACAACAGGGCTTTGAAACTGCAAACCCCAGAGTGGCTGGGGTGTTATTCGCCCTAAATCACTGTTATTAATATTCTCCAAGACTAAACCCTCAGGCCACATCTAGGCTTTTATAATCTTGTCTTTGACTGCTGTCTGCACCTCCAAGCCATGTTCTTAGGCTTGGTACAGGATGTTCGTTTCTTGAAGGTAAGTACAAATGCTCTGCTAATAGAGAACAAAGTAATCAAATCTAAGCCCCTGGGCTGTGATCCCTGTATGGTTCCTGCAAAGACAGCTCTGGCACATCAGGCCGTTGTCAAGGGAGAGGAGTTTTCAAGTTTAATTTTCATAAGAGGAACACAAAAGACAATTACTAGTGCAGGTTTGATACAGTTTCTTTATAGAAGTACTCCTGTTTGTATATTTGTTTGTGTTCCAGCAGAGGAATACAACATGCAGTGGAATAGCAAAACCTGATAAATAGTTTTCTTATATACTTAGCCATGTTTTCCGCTTTCTCATATCAATGAAGCCGTACAGACATTAGTGGGATACTGAATTGTCCCCCTAAGGCCAAATTCTAATTAAAATTTGGCTTTAAAAAGCCCTGGATATGTTCCTGTTTCTGCCATGTCACAGACTAGGAAGCATCACTTTCTATAGGTAATCTTCTTGCATAGTACTTCTTTCTCCCTGGCCTGTCCCCCAGGGTTTGAAGTATCTTTTTCCTACTCATCTGTACATTATCTAGTTTTTTTCCCAAAAGGACGCTTTTCATGTTTCTTGGTCTTTATATGTGATTTATTTTCTTACCAGGTTGGGGGTCACGGCAGGATTCCAAAGTGCTCAGCAAGATTTTCCCCAAGGCTCGCTTAGATACGTTCTTTAAAAAAAAATAATAATATTATGGCACAAATATGTCATTCACCAGTTTAAACGTATGCAAAAAAATACATGCACAGTGCACTTGCATTTGAAAATTAAAACAAAATGAAACTGAATCCTGATAACACAAGACCTGATATTGGCTTTATTTTCAAGCATTTTATCTTAGATACTGGTCAAATACCAGCAGTTTCTGGAGGGCTCCAGTTCCTTAATATGGCTGTAGAAAGACAAATAGCAGTTATTCAATGGAAAATAACAGAATTTTCCAGAGTGTGTGCCTAAACAAATCTAGATGGTGAGGAGCTTAAGCAGGGCACGCACAAGAAAAGCTTGCTGGGCCTGCGTTGGAAGGTGCATGGACAGGGTTTGGGGTGCAATCTCAGACCCAGCTGGTCTGGGGCTCATTAGGAACCCTTTTAGGTATAAACAAATTAGAAGAGATTGTGTGTGTTATGTGGCAGTCCTGCTGTGAGTTATATATTGAGATGTAATAAACATTAGCCAAAGTGAGAGGGTTGTAAAAACTACTTAGGATTTGGATGGTCTCTTCCAGTTGTAGTTTTATGTTAGAAATCTGTTGGGACGTTACATGATGTGTCTGGAAATATAAACTCTCTTAATTTGCCGTCGAGACACTAATGCATGCTTTCTGGGAGACAGTCTTGCAATCAGTTTAATTAGCACTTGGAGCGCCCGTATCTGCAGGGACAGGTTGTTCTTGTTAAAACTTGAAGCAGTGAAAATAGAGGGAAGCTGTTCTGGAAGAAGGACGGTGTATCTGCCAGCAGCTCAGGCACTACTGCCCTTGCTCACTGCTGGTCATCTACCTGTCTGCCCCAGTGGGGACTGGGGCGTGGTGGAAACCAGTTTGCAGTGGGCTGGGATGACACATGACCTCTGCAACACAGCCTGAGCTTGTAATAGTCCTAACATTTCGCTTTGTCATCGCTTTGTAGTAGATTCTGTTGCAAATGAGATGCTTGGAGTATTTAAAACATCAATGTGAACACGTTGGGGGAGTGACACCTAAAACCACCTTTCTGATTAATAAGTTTCATTTTGTATGAAGTGTATCCCATCAGGGATTTAGGGGATCCTTACTCAACTCTGCTGGGAATGCTGTAAATTATCCTGTTCCTTGTCAGCACGGTTGCCTGTATTGGTGCTGAGGGAGTTGGCAGCAGTGGTAGCACGTTTCCAGTGAGGGTTAGCATTAAGTGCTGTTATCACTGAGCTATGGCACATCATGTGATGGATTGTCTCCTGAGCAGAAATGATTGGCAATAACTCAACTGACCAGTGTATGACATGTTAAAGTCTTGACACAAGAGGTTATTATGCTTGTTGCCAGTCACAGTCTCTACTAGTTTAAGCCTCCACTGGATTGTTATTGATGCATGTGTCAGACTTGCAATATGAAAGTAGAATTTCCATGTCAAGTGCTAAAATAAGTTACCAAATTATGAGATATTGTACTTGTTCCCTAGAGTCATCAGTGGAACATGAGCGTACTTCAGTCGAAGTAAAGTGATCATCTGAGGAAGCATTCTCATCTCACACAGATTAGGCAGAGCTTTGCTGGAAATTGAGGAGAACCCTCAGTCGTTATCAAAGAAATTAGCAGCTGGCAGTCCAGCGTGGCCCCCAACAAACTCTGTGCTCTGCAGGTTACCCACTTCACCGGTCTTATGGCTAGCTCTTACCATTATCATTCCCAAGCAGGAGATTGGTCCTTATTTTCTAAAGGACTGAACTGCCACACTGGGCACATGTTTCTGGTGTGTTACTACATCAGCTTTTATAAGTCACAGAATCACAGAATGATATGGGGTGGAAGGGACATCTGGAGATCATTCAGTCCAACCCTGTCCCAGAGCAGGTTGCACAGGAACGCGTCCAGGTGGGTTTTGAATGTCTCCAGAGACAGAGACTCCACCACCTCCCTGGGCAGCCTGGTCCAGGCCTCTACTATGCTCAAAGTAAAGAAGTTCCTCCTCTTGTTTAGATGGAATTTCTTATGTACAAGGTTGTGCCCGTTACCTCCTGTCCTGTCCCTGGGCACCACTGAAGAAACACTGACCCCATCCTCCTGACACCCTTCCTTTGAAGTATTTAGAGGTGACAGGACAAGGGGCAATGGTTTTAAGCTGGTGGAGGGGAGATTTAGGTTAGATACTAGGAAGAAATTCTTTACAGTGAGGGTGGTGAGGCACTGGAACAGGTTGCCCAGGGAGGTCGTGGATGCCCCATCACTGGAGGGGTTCAAGGCCAGGCTGGATGGCTATTTGAGCAACCTGGTCTGGTGGGAGGAGTCCCTGCCCAGGGCAGGGGGGTTGGAACTAGATGATCTTTAAGGTCCCTTCCAACCCAAACCATTCTATGATTCTATGATCAGATACCCCCTCAGCCTTCTCTTCTCCAGACTAAAAAGACCCAAGTCCCTCAGCCTTTCCTCGTAAGAGAGATGTTCTAGTCCCCTCATCATCTTTGTAGCCCTCTGCTGTACCCTCTTTGGCAGTTCCCTGTCATTCTTGAACCAGGGAACCCAGATTATTAATTGGGTGAGAAACTTCTCAAAAAATGCTTTTTTTGGTACATAGGAAGGAGTTTTATCCCTTTAATACTGACTCAGTGCTACTGTAGGATGCAGTTAAACAAGAGTCCTTGTCTAGAAGAAAAAATGGTCTTTTTTCTTTTCGTTTTTGTTGTCCTTGTTTCCTCTAAAATTTTGTTTCGAGGATAACAAACACTTGTTGATCTAGATCCAAGGAGATCTCTAGGCCTCTTTTAGAAAGTCAGCCATAGAGGTCTAAAAGTTTTCTGCAGTCACCAGGCAGTTCCCAGGGCAAACACAAGTAAAAAGGTTTCCTGGTGTAAAGGGCTTTGTAGTGAACGTGAACATCTTTTTTAGTTGGGAAGGGACAGTACCAAAACCAGTCTCAGTCTCTGGACTGCTTTCTTGCCATACCAAGTCTCGAAGTTGTTGAAGCAGCTGTAAGACATCCATGAGCTTCTCTTCCACCAGCGACAGCCTGACTCTCTCAGTCTCCAGCATCTGCAGCTCCATCTTCAGCAATTCTGTCTCCTCCACCTTTTGTTGCAGTTCCCCTCGCAATGGGCCTTTCAGCTGGACAATGACACAGGAAATTAAAAGCACTGGAGCTTTTCGCTTTCTTGCCCAATAATTGCAAAGCTAATTTCCCCCTTCTATCTGGTAAATGTCAGTTCACTCCAGAAGGTTATTTTGCAAGGAAGTACATTTCTTTAACGTATTACATGAAGTGCAGAATCAATAGTTGCTAGGAAATGCATGCTTTGCTCTTGCGCATAATGGCACTTCATTCAACACTGGATGCAAGCAGATAATTCAGAAATTCTACGTACCAGCATTACTATTGCAGTTTTCTAATCTTTTGCATTCCTTTTGTCCTCAATAAAGCATAACTAATTTGTGTGCCCTCACCAATGTGGTCATATTTTTGTCTTGCAACTCCTACATATAAATCATGGGTACATTCAGAGAAACAAGAAGGTGAAGAGCTAATTTCTTCTAATCATTTTGATTTTAAAAAACAAGTGGCTTAAGAAAAAGGAAAATTAAGATTCTGGTTCTGCAAAACACTGGCTGGCTTGCTTGGTGAAGCCCTGATTTGCAGCCAAGCACGGAAAAGTCCAGCTACAACAAGACTTTGGAACCCTACAGAAACCCTGGGCAAGAGGGGTCTCCCCAGCCCTGGCCTGCTGAGGACCTGTCGTTGGCTCAGACCCCCCAGTGTTAAAATGTTCAGGATACGAAATGTTGCTTTTGTTTCAGTGCAAAAATCTAAGTGACATATTTTTGAACTATATAAAGCTGCTACACCGTTTGCAAAAGTAAATCACAGACCCAGGCCCGTTGCAGATACGTGGCCAAGTTGCTAAAAAGAGCTCAAAAAGCATTCCCTGGAAAATATGTCCCTTAAATATTCATTTTGGACCTTTGAGACTACAGACAAGATTTCAGGCTTATTAATAAAAATAAACATATCTCAGTCACTATGGTGCCCAGCATTCTGAAATGTTACCATTTTTTTGCAATTTCTTGTTGCAAACACAATGTAAATATATTTATTAATATTACGCTGAGGAACCAAATCATGTGGGCTAAATGCCAGATTTGCTGGCTCTGTTGAACTCGAAAAGCTGAAGGCCTTGATATGCACACTATTTAATAGATTTCTTTTCAGTGGAAATTTGTATCCTAATGAATTTTAATAAACGGGAAGGAACTTCGGTTCTCTAAAACAGAAGTGTCAGACTGAGAAAAAGAAAACAACCCCTGATTCGCACTGTGCCTTCTAGAAGGTCATTTTAGTTTCTGCCAGTGCTAATGGTATGTATTAGTTGGCATTAACTCCCCCATCAGATGGAAATCAGCCCTTGCCATTAGCTCTCCATGGGCCCAGTGAGGTGCTCCAGCTCCTCGGAGCAACATGACAGCTCCAGAAGTTTGGATCACTTCATCTGCTCCGTCTGCCAGACAATGATTTCAGCAGCCCTGCCTCAACCCCCCTTTTAGATGAATATCCTCACATTTTCCTGTGTGGAGAGCCAGCTTTGTTACCAGTGGTGTGGCAGCAGTCCCACTGAGACCTAACAAATGCTCTAGAGGCTGTGGGAGGTCTTCAATGAATTAACCATGTGGTGTCCTTTATTATATTGCAGCTTGGCTCCTCATTGTAGATACCACCTGGCACAGCTATGTCCTGAACACACGAAGCAGTTATGTTCCCCTGCACAGCTGAAGCAGTGTCATATCAAGTAACAGAGAGGTAAAAAGGTAATTATTTTTAAGTGTAAAATAGACTTTCCCAATGTGCAGTTGGACAGATGCTGATGGAAATTCCTAACGGGTTGGTGCCCCATCTATCCTGGTCCTGCACCCCTAATGTCACTGATGTGCTGCTTTGGGCGTGCTGGCAGAACTGCCCTTTTTGGGAGGCTGCACAGGGACACCTCTGTCCTCCCCTGGCTGCTACTGACAGGCTCTCAGCTGTGCAAATACCAACAGGAGAAACAGAAGCTTTTCTCTTTAGCATGTGTGTCACTTGAGTTCTCCGGAGCTGGCTCGTGCCACGACCAGCTGCTCAGCTTTTCTGGAGCACAGAGGCAATATGCTCAGCTGAGTGCCACTACTCCTGCTTGGGCACAGCATGTGCTGCGGCTGCTGCCTCTTTTTCCTCTTCAGTTTGCTCCTACAAAGCCCTTTTTGTTTGTATTTCCTATGCTGTAGCCAGTAACTGCTTTCTGTGGCAGCTGTACCTTAACAGTGCCCTGCTCATATATCAGGATGCTGGTTTCCTGATACTTTTATTTCATTTATATGTATGGGTGTGCAGGTTTTTTGGCTATTTGTGCTTGAGACAGTGGCTCAGTGTACCATTAACACATTTCCCCCCGTTGTTTTCCCTAGCTTGGTTGCATCTAGCATCTGTTCTTACCTTAACATTTGCCATAAGATAATGATGATAGTTAAGCATCATCTGTTTTTGAAACTTAGATACTGAAAGGGATGGTGGGTAGTTAAGTTGTAGGGCTCACAGAAGTTGGGTTTGGTTTTAGCTCAGTCAAAGTCCCTCAGCAGAGCCTGGTTTTGGAGCTGTGCCTTGTCTGTGAAATGGAAATACTGCCTTGCTAAATACCAGTTTTGAGAATAAAGTCAGCTGCTGGTATCCAACCCTCTTATAAAAGGGGGTTAATGCCATGGGCAAAATCTGAGCTCTGGAGTAGTTGTGTACAAATACATCTAGGACAATGAATAATTAATATGTAAAAAAAAAATCCCTTAAGGAATGTAAGAGAAAATCATTGTATTGTATTTTCTATAAAAGTTAAGGAGGTATTATTATTAGAGCCATTTTTACAAGCAGTGAACCTGAGAAATGATTTTCAAAATGTAGAGAAAAGTACTGGAGGGGCAGAATGAAGTGCTGAGCTTCATCAGATATCAACAGATAACCTGTTGTGCAGGTTATCTTTTACATCATTTCAACCCCAAAAGACTGGAGCAAATGGAGCAGCAGTTTTTAAGAGAGGCTACATGGATGATCTGAGGAACAGCAAATCACCTCAAGAGTATTGGTAATTCTGCCAGGCAAGTGATAGGAACTGTGATGGAGAAGGGACTTGGTGAATGCATAGATAAACACAGTGAGGAATCTGTTAGATTTCTTTGAAAGGGTCTATGATATATATATGAATAATGTTAATTCAGTTAATAGAGTGCATTTTGAATCCATCACCAAAGACTTAAAAAAAAAAAACAAACCAAACAAAAAATAGCTGCAGCTGGAGTTCATGGTGTTGAATAGCTATGGGCACTAAATATCAGCTGAAATTCAGTGTCAGTAACGCAAAGTCAGGCATTGTAGGGGAGGTACACAGTGTCGTACGTATGCAGTGGGGATGGCTGCTGCTCAAGGAGGAGATGCAGAAGAGGTGTAATCTCCTGAAAATAGCTCAGCAGTCAGCAGAGATCAAAAGGACACATGCAGGGAGCTATTAGGAAAGGAACCAGGGACAAACCAGAAACTATGATTATGCCGTGAAGGGCTTGCATTTGAATACTAAGCACATTTTCAGTTCTTCTCATTCAAAGAGGGTAATAGAGCTTGAAAAGTACATGGAAGAATAAAATAGAGTAACAGAAGTAAGCAATGGTTTCTATACTGGGGAGCTGAGGGAGACTAGGAATGGTGATAACTGGAACAGTATTTCTGGTGCTAAAAGTCTGTAAAATTATGAGGGAAAGATCATTTGCTGATTCCCAAGCATAAAAATGAAGTGACAGTGGATGATCGGGCTGCAGATTCAAAGCTAACAAAAACAAATCCTCAAAACCTGTTCCTTTCTAACCACTATGTGGAGTCCTTGCCCCGAGATACCAAAAGCATCACTAGCTTTAAGGAAAGGCAAGGTAAATTCATGGTAAATAGCTCCGATACTGGCCATTAACCATGATACTCCGTGCAACAGCCAGTTCAAGATGTGTCTGTCCCTCATGTACTGGGAGCCAGGTGGGTAATACCAGGAGGAAGACCTTCTGTGCTGTTTCTCATCCCTTGTCTCTGAGCAGCTGCTGCTTGCCATCAGGCCTGTGAGATGAGGATGAACTTTTCATTTGGCCCTGTATGGCAGGTCATAAACTAATTGTCTTTTTAATTAAGCTGGCAGTTTGTATGTGAGCTTTTATGGAAAATCATTGGCATTGCTTTGCAACACTACCCTTGGCAGCCTTTCACTTTATTTTTAGAATTCACTCATGTTTTCTCCATCTATTATTCCCAGATCCTGACACCTTCATCACCCTGTCTGCAGTAGAAACTATTTTAAATGTTCAGTTGTTGGAAAGCAGAACTTTCTAGACATGACAAATTTCAGAACTCTTTTATCCCCTGCTTTTACAGTCTTAGACTGAAGCAATTCTTAGTCACTATTTGAGAGTGTTGCTTTTCACTTGCCTGCTGAGATTGTTACTTTTTAGCTTTTGTTGGCATTTGTCCAATTTTCAGCATTAAGGTGGTCCAAAAGAAGTGTCTAGAGCAATGTATAAAGTAATTTTTTCAGGTTATCAGAGAAAGTGTTGTTGGGGGGTTATTTATTAAGCGAATATATTTATTTGCAAGTTAGATGAGAGGGAGCATTTCTCAGCCTTCCAGTTTGCTTTGTGTTGATTAATATAAGTCACCTTTTTGAAAGCAATTACTTATGACTTGTCTGTCTGTTCTGTAGCATTAAAAAAACCCCAACAACCTATAACTGCACACAAGAAATAAATGCAGCCTAAATAAAAGTAAGAGGGTTTAAGAAAACATTTCTAACAGTCTCAAAATTATTCCTTCTACTGATGTTGAATTCATATTGCACTGAGTTGGCACCTCCCTCCTTGACTTTAAACCAAGAGAAACAGATTCCATTTTGTCCTGGGATTTTGTATTAATCTATGGATAATGGCACATTTCTGAACAAGGTGCACAGAACTAATATCCATCAGCAGAGATTAAAAAGAAGGCAGTATGATACTGCTCTGAAAAAAGAGAAGAAAACTGGCTATATAAATGTAGGGGTTTTTTGTGGGCTGATGTTAAACAGCATGGAGGGAAGCTTTGTGTTGCTTTAAGGAGTGTTACAGGAACACTGAAAACTGTGTAAGTCACAAATACGATTTTATTCCATTTTAAAATGTTTTTCCCCACAAGTAATCTCTTTCATTCAGTTTAGTCAAGGGGAAAATGGTATGAAGTACTGATAGAAATCAAAGGGTGGCAACATGTAAAGAAGTTGAATATTTTACTCTTTCTTTAAATAGTTTACCAATTAATAGAAGCCTTCCAGAACTACTGAAATCTTTACTGTCCTTTTAAAGAAAGGATATAAAATACTGAACCTTAAGACAGAGCAGACCAAAGCAATGCGTATGGTGCAGTATTTTTGTTTCACAGAAAGATTGCTGGCGTGGAGATCTATGCCCATCAATGGCTGAAGTTTGTGGTATTTAGGTAGTAAGATCATACAGGAATATTAGGATGTTACATTGAGGCTTTTAACTACTGTGGTATAACCTCTGCTGAAGGAAAGTTGAACGTGCTGCTAAGCCTGAGACCTGATTTTAAAATTTTTAAAAAATTTTTTTCATTAATATTGGTCTAAGCCTGAGAACCAGCCAGAGTAAATTGGATCATTTCCTCTGAAGGATTCCAAAATGGAAAGCCCTGCATCTCAGCCACATGGAGGGATTTCTTGGAAAGTGTCTTGGGACTCGTGGACATCCAGAGCGGAGATGTTTGAGTTGGTGAACTAATGGCACAGAGAGAAACATCAGCGACAAAGAGCAGAATGGCCCAAAATAAAATATAAATGCATGTGGATATAAATGCAGCTACTCAAAGATCCATAACTGACTCTTTCACACTGTTTGACCCCTGTTACCTCTTCCACGTTTGTTTCCAGCTTCTTCACTTGGTGCCCCTTAAGCTCCAGCTGCTCAGGGAGCTGTGCGACTCTCTCTGTGAGCTCCGCAGGGGCTGTGTCGTAGCCATCCCTATTGGTGCTCTCCAAGTAAGACATCAGCTTTTTCCACATTTTTTCATCACATCTATAGACACAAAAAAAAAGTAAAATAAAATCAGTGAAACTGTACGATGAAGGTCCATGTTTGTAAAAGTCAGTTTTCCTGCAAAGCTCTCGGCAGCACAGATCTCAAAGGGGTGTCCCAGCTGACAGCCATTAAGATTAGGTGGGTAAGTCCAGTGTGTTGTTTCCCACATGCTGTAAAGGATGAGCAAAAAGTCCTACTAATTTTGCTCTATAATGATAGTGCTTCTTACTGAAGCCATAGCACCTTCAGATCATAAAATAACCTCTGGAAAGGGTTCAAATAACATTGATTGTAAAAACCTACCCGCTGCCACAGCAAGGGAGCTTGGCCATGATTTTCTTCATTTGCTCCACCTGGGCTGGCTGGTCTCCTGCCCACTTCTCGTCCTCTTCGTCGGAGGCAGCCTGGCCCTCCACGGAGCGGAACAGCTGATCCTCTGCTGGAGAAACCAACAACCCCTTAGAGCAAATCAACAGCCCTGATGCACTCCAGCTGTGGTGTTTTACACCCCCGAGGCTGAGCAGGAAAGAAGGGAGATTTTAAAAGTCCCAGTCAAACAGAATAGAGGGTCCTTCAGCAGCCGTGGAGAGGGCTTTAAAGCTAAGGCAGCCCCAGCAAAGATTGTTATTTTAAGAGTCTTGAATGCTTCAGCAGGCTTTTGCAGGTAACTTGTAGCTGTTCCACTTAAATTTTATTTCCTTTAAGTAGCTTTAACATAAGTGTGAATGGCCAGTGTATGACTGGGGGGGCAATTGCTGTTGCTGTCCATGTGTACAAGGGAATATCAGCCTCTCAAGAGGAATGAGAAGCCATTGCACTGTGTAAGATTATTTTGCATAGTCATTATACTGGTTGAACACATAGTCAGAGTGCAGGAACTTGATACAAATGGTCTCTAATTCATTCCCTTATGGTGTTTGGTAGGAACAGCAGTTTTAATGTATAAATGTATATTAGATGTATTGCTATCTAAAGTTTAGTTACATCTTTTTTACCTAAATGTAATGTCTCCTCATATGCCAAATAAATTATAAATGAACCGTCTGCAATACATGTAAGCATACATGTACTGTTATAGTAATATTTCAGTACTTTTTTTAGCTGAATCTTATAAAAATAGTGCATTTAACTCCTTTTTATTATGGGGAATATTTACTGGGACTTAGACAATTATTACGATGCTTGTAGATTAGAGAGTCTTTAGAAACTGAGTACATGAAAAGCACTGGTTGCATCTTTATTCTGAACATTTACTTTGAGTTGATGTCAGGTTAAGCCAATGTCAACATGACTTTAAATTTTATAATTATTTACCCTAATCACTGTCAGGCAATTAAACAGGTTTAATGAATTCTAAGAGAGCGATCAAGTCAACTGCTGTTATTTCTTCAAAGCCTGGATCCCATCAGACCTTAGGAGGTGCTGCAGGTGTTGTGTGTGTGTTCAGCTCCTTCAGCAGAGGAGAGGGGGGCTCGGGGGGGATGAGTCACCCAGAGGAGAGACTCAGGGAGATGATTCTCTGTCTCACTGCAAGGACATGAGCATCTGCTGGTGGGCAGGGTCCCCTTCAGAGGGCGGCCGTGCTCCATCCCTCCCTTCCAGCGGCCTCTTTGCAGCAGCAAAGGAAAAATAGCCTGGGTTTCTGTGTTTCTCTTTTGGTTGACACTCAGCATGTGCTTCTAATTGCAATTTTCATTCAATGTGCCTAATTTATAGGTTATTGTGACCGATTGTGTATTGCCGAAGCGGGAACAAAGCTTAGTTGCATGCAGCATTGGCCTTTAATTAGAGAATGAGTGCATTTTCATGGCAATCCTTACACTGGACAAACTGATTTATTAGAAGCGCTACCTGTGAGGCTGGCGCTGCCAAACAAAAAAAACCCCAAAACCCAACTTTCTATTTTCAATCTGTAGTGAACTTTTTCTATTATTTATTTTCTTGCCATGGGAGTTCAAAGGGATAACAATCAGAGTTTACAACTGCTGTGGCAGAGATGAGAACTATCCCACACTATGGGCTCCTTGAAGACCTTCAGACTGGTATGTTTAATCCAGTAAATCTGTTGCAGCATCTGGTATAGCAGAACAATCAGATTAGGTTTGTAAAAATGAAGGAAATCTCCCTTGTAGGTTATGATTAGCAGGGCTGGAAACCAGAGAGGAAAAGCAAGACTTCTTATGCATCTCTTTTAGTATTAAGCCAGTATTTTATTAAAGTTCTTCTCCTAAACTAATATTTAAAAAAAATATTCTGTCAGTAGAATCATAGAGCCCTTTGTTATTGTGATATTTAGGCATTAATTTGTAAAGTAGCTAATGCAGAATAACTTACCAAATGCCATTGATGCAAGTGCTTTTCTGCTCTAAGAAATTCACATTTATTGCAGTATATATGGAAAATAGAAATAACTTTGTGTTTAGACTTATTTAGCTAGCATATCTTGGTTTATCCCAGATGTTCACACTTTTTTATTCATTCAACTTTCTGAGTTATCTTTCTTTTCTGCCTAACTAAGCCTTTTTATTTGACAGAACACTTTTTTCACATTTTTAAAGCTATAAACCTACAATTTATTTGTTTTTAAAGCCTTTGCTAATGAGCTGTTTGTACTTGAAATGTGGGTAGTGCAGGTTAGACATGGGAAGAGTCTTTAAACTGGCAAAGTGTCTAATTTGATAAAAGTAGGTTTATTTTATAAGTCTATGGAGAACATGCTATGATGTTAATTGTATTTACATGTCATTATTTTTAGTATTGCCTAGCAGCTGCCAGCTTTATTCAATACATACTTAAAATCTAATTTTTTTGTCAGTACATGCAGCTCTCCAGCCTGCACTAAAGATGCCTTGGTACTTACAGTTAATTTCAGATAAGTGTTTTTGTCTTCTTTGAACTAGATATGTTAAAAAAAAAAATAAAAAATCACTGAAGGTAAGTCCAACTTGCCAGACTTTGCATTTGCTGTCTCCTTTGTAAACCTATCATAAATGTGTCTCAGCATTACAGCAGCTAAATGATGAGCCCCTTCCCCAAACTGCTGTCTCTTTGAGAGCCCTTGTAGCTGTCAGCTCTGAGAAAGCCCAGTTGAGAGAGAGCCTGAGGAGAGCCCCCCTCAGCAAACCCAGTGGTTTTAGGAGACTTTCAAAGAGTACTTCATGCAGTCCCATCAGAAGTGGCAAGTGTGCAGTGCTGTGGAGTAGTGCTACATGCACTAAACTGGTTGGTTTTGTTCAGAGTTGCTGAAGTGGCCAGGGTGCTTCTAAAGAGCGTGACTGGACAGAATGTTAACTGCAAATGGTTTCCTTGGAAATTATTTGAGCTGAAGTTCTGGGTTTTATTTACAAAGAAATGAAAAACTTCATATTTTTAAGCCAGAAAAATGGTTTTGTAAGGTGACTCATGGGGGGGAAAAAAGCAGTTTTAAATTATAGCTCTAAATGACTTGTTCGGTCTTTCATTAAACACAAAATTCTGTGGGGAGTGGGAAGTAGAAAGCTGGGATATTACCTTTTGTGTAGGTCTAGGATTTTGGTATTTGTTAGGATTTGTTTGGGGCTTTGATGCTTTTGATACCTGTATTAGTTTTTCTGTTGAGGACCTTACAAATCAGTGAGGAAATAAAACAGTTGGGTGGTGGGTTTGATACCGTTCTCAGACATCCCAGCTCCGCCGGTGGGAGAGCGTCGGTCTTGCCCAAGGGCCGGGCAGTATCTCCCCTCTGGGGGGGCTGCTCCCCCTCTCTGCGCTGGGCTGCTGCTGGAGGGAAGCTGGTATCTCGTTATTTCTGACCTGGAAAAGAAGGACAAAGTCAAGTGGACTTGTAGGAAAGCTGACAAACCAAGGTGAACGTGCACAGCGTGGAACATGAGTGACTTGGAGTGAAATGGTTCAGACTTGCTAGAGAACAACAGGGGTGTCTGCCTTCAGACCCCAGGAGATTGAGTGCCTGAGGGCTGCCTTTGGTTGCTTCACTAAGAATCAAAGGAAGGTAGAATTCAGCTGTTCTTTAGGTAATAAGAACTAAACATCACTTACAGCTTTTAGTTCAGGTCACAGACACCTAGAAACTATATATGGAAACAATCTACTCTGGCCATAAACTCTTCCTTCTCCACTGATGGTGATATCACGGTGCCTGTTTCATTTTTACCGTGGGCACCAGAACACCATAGCTTGGGTCTCAAGTCCTGGTACCTGCTGGTACTGGAAACTGGTGCTCAGACTTAGAAATGGGAGGCAGTTTAGATCTAAGTCTTCCCAGTACTGGAGATGAAGCAGTGTCAGAGACTGAAAAGTCAAAAAGAATGCTACATAAGAGCGACACATTTGAAAACCAGTGAGTTATAGGTAAGAAGTATCTCAGCAATGGGCCCCTGAATTGCTGACAATCTCATTTGAAATTGTGTATTTTTCTGAGTGGAATGGAGAGAATATGACATCTGTGTGCTTCAAAGGGAATCACTTTCAAGCCATGGTACACAGATGAAATAATGTAGCTGATGAATACAAGTCCTGAAGCTTGCCAACAAAATATATTTGGAAAAAAAGTAATTTAATTCAATGAAGGACAATGACTGCTCAGACTGTAACTTAGTTACCTAAATGAACAGGACTGGGGGAGTACCTTCAATGAAATTCAGGGTAGCACATGTTGGAGGAAAAATCCAGAGTATATTTACATGTAGTTGAGTTGAAAATGTTCTTACTCAATCAAGAAAAGACCCAGGCATGTAAGACAGTACAAGTCGTTCTTCATAATAAAATGGAAACTTATACTGTACACGAAACAAAATCTAACAAATCTAATAACATAGATTTATTTTCTAACAATGTAATAAAATATTACATTTTGAAAAGCATGGGGATGGAATGGGAACTGACAGTTGTATTGAGTCCATTAGAGCTACTACTGTCTTTTTATTGGAATACATTTGGGTTGGGTCAGTTTGGCTCTGCTACCTGCCATTTCATAGGGATGGACTAAAAGGCAGTGTCACTATTTTAGAGGAAGTAGAATGGAAGCATGCAATATAGTTGACAAAGGAAATTATTCCAGACAGTCCTATTTACGTGCAAAATAGTAGAGTCCATGAAATTTAAAGGCTACACATAATACTGAATTTAATTTTGGAGTCTTGTTTTTCCACACAATATACATAATATGTAACTTAATTCCACAAAATGCCACTGAAATCAGGGCTATGAAGAATTTAAGAAATTAGATTTATAATGTAATAAGAAATGCATAGTTAAGTTGGATAAATGGAAGTTGGGCATATCAGTCTGCACATGTAAGGTTTATATCAAATGTTCTCTGAGGTAGGAATAAGGCACCTCTCAGGTATGCAGCTAAATGAACGCCAAGTCCAGTCCATTACAAGCTTGTGTATGTTGTGTAATGTAATATTGTACATTTCCATTGCTTCCTCTTTTCCTATTTAGAAAACAGTTTACTTTCAATGGTTACATCAGGATATTTTCCAATGCAGACTGTAATAATGTGGTTATAGTTTTCCCAGCAGGAGCTGTCATGTAGTTCACAAAGAATCTCTATGCAGAAGAAAGCAAACCAAATTCAGGAGTCTTATAGTAAATTAAGTTCCCTCCAAATTCTTCCTAAGATTAGTTTTGGTCTGGTGAATATTGAATATTCCTTGTACTTAACACATTAAATATTCATCAACAAAAAGTGAGATAAAACACTTAGCGAATTGGTTCGGCTCAACCAAGTTGTATAACATGATGTTTTTGTACAAATCTCCTAAATAACTTCCTGCCCGTAAATCCATCCACTGCTAGAAAGGGGACTGTAGCTGGAGGAATAGAAAAGCTGATGCCAAGTTGGAGATAAGTATCGCAGAGAGCTTTTGTTTAACCTAATGCAGCTGCTCTCAGTTCCTGACCAACCACCCCGATATTGGTTCCCTTGTTGCTTGGGAAAATATAACAAGTAAATAAGATGGTGAATTTAACAGCAGTGAGTATTTCGAAATACCTGTGGGGACAGGAGCTGAGGTAGCACATGCTGAGGAACCAGCACTTTTTTACCCCCGAGTAGAGCTGACTGCAGAAAAACTAAGGACATACTTCATTTACAATTGGTGGTGGTGTTTAGCTTAGCAACAATTGGATTTCCTGTGAAGTCAAGGGAAATAGCAGTCTCCAGAGTGGAGCCTGGCTAGTCATTTACCACCTTAATTATTTTTTCCAGAACTAATGAAGTAGTGTACAAATAGCAAACACTGTTAAGCTTGGGCATTCAAAATGGGAACTTCTGGAATGATCACAAAGCTTCACCGTTCTGGGCAATTACTGAGGAATATGGTAGTGTTTCCTTTCCCAGGAATATTATGCTTTCTTTTTCTGAAATGTGCTAATTTCCTTCATTTTAAGACCAAAATATTTGGTGGTCTGATACTCAGTAAGAATCCTTTACAATCTCTTGAGGCCTGTAGCTGGCACTCTGCAGACTGTTCTCTAGGTTTTGAGCTGCAGTATAGTTTTCATCTGTTTGGATTTCAGAGATTTCTCGAGTTCACAGAATACAGAGATGTTGACATTTCAGGGAATATTCATTGTAGTCTCCAAGTTGGTTAAGATTTTTAACCCATAAAACATTGAGAATATTCAAGTATCATGAAACCTTTTTGTAGCACAAGTGGGTAAATGCTGTGATGTTTCATGGGAGATCTGCTGGTGGGATTAACTTCTTGCATCTGGCAGCCTGGCTTCAATCGAGCGTGCGGTCTGAGGAACGTTAAGAAGTTTGGGGGGAAAAAAACAATCCTTCCTGTGACATTCAGGACTTAGAACAGCAGGTTCCCTCCACTTAGATGAGATTCAAGACAGACCGACCTAAATAATAGCTCTTGCTTCTCTGCAGCTCTTGTCAGGGAACTTATTATTAATTGATGAAATACAAAGTACAAACTCTGAAGTCCTCTCCAGAAAATTACTGTGGAATACTCAGCTCTCTCTTAGTGTGGAGAAGTCAACGGAGCCATATATGTTTTATTAGGTCTTTGTGCCCAATGTATTGCATAAAGACAGCCACATTTGTCTTCCCTAGAGATGTTTATCTGGGAAGAATACTCAGCTCTCTTAGTGTGGAGAAGTCAAAGGAGCCATATATGTTTTATTAGGTCTTTCTGCCCAATGTATTGCATAAAGACAGCCATATTTGTCTTCCCTAGAGATGTTTATCTGGGAAACTAGAAAGAAATGCAATTTTTGAGCAAGGGTTTTCAGACCCAGATGCTCCAGAGTTTAAATCTTGGTTCTGGCACAGGCTCTATCATCTGCATCAAATCACATGGTGCCTTAGTTTCTCCAACAGAAGAAATATAGCAAAGTTAGTGTACCTTACACCCTAAATAAAAAGGCAGCACAGATTAAGATACAGCCTTGTTTTCTACAATGTGGAAATTATTTCAAGGTGTTTAGGAAAGGAGCAGATTTAAATGTGCATGAAGGAACATGTGGCCAGACAGGCTGGAATTTCAGAGCTCGTCCAAGCCAGAGAAAAACGAAGGAAAAAAGCAAGCAGCAGCATGAGTGTATAAACAAGTTTAAAAAAACAAAAACCAAGAGATTTTTATATTTGATCAGCCAACATATAATGTCAAAGATCTGTTGGAAATAAAAAAACCTGGAAATTTGTTGGTTTGGTATGTCTTGCCAAGAGTGCAGTATAATGTGATGCCAGGAACTGCTTTCTCCACAGGAGTGACCAGGGAGGGTGATGGGAAAGGACAGGACCAGCAGCCTAGTGACAAAGTGAAGGGAGGGGGGTGTGCTGTGCCATTGAGTACCAAAGGAGGGATGTACAAACACAGCTCTCATCCAAAATCAATATAAGGCAATAACTTGCCAAGTTTGGTGCCAAAGATGAGGAGGCAGAGCTAGAGATCTTTTGGGCCGTACAGAAATTGTGAGCGGGGGGCAAATGGGCTGGTGACACTGCCCATGGAGCTGCAAGGGCAAACTTACTGTTCCTTTAAACTACAGCTAGAAACTAAACACGAGATGGATTGAAGAAGGGTCTTGTCAGAAATCTTGAACAGAATTAGAAGAATGGCATTAAGGACACTAATGAATATTTGCAATCTATTGGAAGAAAGGGGCTTCTTTTAATTTTGCCATGGCTATAGGATCCTGCATTCACCTTGGAGGCTTTTTCAAATTTCTGACTTCATTTTCTCTGCCTTTTGGACTTTAAAGCAGATGCAACCAGTCAGTACAGAAGGTTTAATTTCTTAGGATTGCTTCATGCTCCTCAGTTGACTGTTGAAGTACCCAGCATTTCATCCTCCTTCCCAAGTGAGGTGATGGAGGCATGAATGGGGTCGCGGTGGTGCTCTTGGGTAGCAGAACAATGAAGTGCCATGATTCTTCTCATCATGTGATTTAACCACTAGGTCATTTTTTTCTATCTGGGAGCTTTTTCTTTTCTTTAATGCCAAACCTGCACTCTTGATTTTTCAAGTGGCAGAGGTTTCAGGATGTAAAGAGCAGCGTAACGAAGGAGACCAACCGGTGCGTTTTCGCTGTCATGGTAAATGCTAAAGGGAGGAATCTTCGCTCGTTCCCAAACATAGGTTTAATTCTTTTCTCATTAGTATTCATACAGCATCAGCTGGGTCTTCATAAATGAGAAGAAGAGTGAATAAACAGCACGTTTGTTTAGGGCAAAGATCAGAGGGGAGAGCAGCGCTGGAGATGCCTGGGAAGTGTTTGTGTAGGGAGCAGAGTGGCCGGGATTCCATGGAGACAGGCAAACGGTCCACAGG